TCCCCATGCTGGCTAGGGAATTCTGGGAGCTGAAGTCCACTCATCTTAAAGTGGCCAAGGTTGGACAACACTGCCTTAAGGTAACTGCAGTTCCTTAAAGAATGGCGACTGGGGGAGCCCGGCAGTTTTGGGAATCCCGCGTTGATTCCAGCCGTAGGACTTCCATTCCTCCTTGCTGCCCTTCTGCTCCACGGAGGGCCAGAGCCACAAAGAGGTTATTACTGCTAACAGACAGCCCTGCAGAACAACCTGACAGGTGTGGGGACTACAGTCCCCATCATTCAAAGCCGGGAGGGAGCTGAAGTGCCGAGAGAACGAGACGGCACCACGTTGAGGGAAGTCCACTGTTCAGCAGGATGGCGACAGCCAGGTTTTGGCAGCCAGAAAGTCAAGCTCCCTGTTCCCCCCCCCCCAAAAAAAACCACTTGTCAGGAACTATATAGACAAGCTAAATGATTCACTGCAAATGTATCTCAAATGAACCAAACACCACATTACCCAAAGGTAGCTTAAATCCAAGAGGCTGTTCTAGTTATTTAAATATGTTTAAAACAGTAGTTCTTAAACTGATTGACCCAATTTTCCAGTCTTAAATAAGGCTATTACCCCCGCAAAAAATACAGACTCTGTTGTTTGACAACTGACTGCATCCTTGACTTACAAACAAGCGATTACAAATTGCTCCATCTCCCCCAAGAGATGCCCCACTTACTCCCAGTTTAAGAACAACCGTTTTAAAACAGCCTGAAGATTCAGGATATTTTTCTGAACTCAATAGGCAGGGCCCAAGCCTCAAAACCATTCCATCTGAAAACACAGGAGGTTTATCTCCTCTCCTTTCCAAACTGAAATCTCAAAAGATGCCCGACAGACCTTGCACTTGGCCTGCTTGGAAATGGAGAATGTTTGTGAACGTTCCCTGTCATCACAGCGCAAATCAGTGAGTGAGTCCACCACCAACAAGGACAGGTGGAAGGATGATCTGGTTTTCAGGCACGTTGTGGTACCTTTTTTAAAAAAAATACATCTTACCTGGCATGGTAGCCTAACTGCTACCTGGCGTGAAGAAAATGAGCATGCAGGGCTTCACAAGAGAGAGAAGTCAAGGGGAAGAAGAGGAAGAGGAAGAGGAGAGAGAGGATGGAAGGAAGGATGAAGGGGAAGGGGAAAGGGAAAAAGGGGGGAAGGGGGAGGGAGAGGAGGAAAGAAAGAGGGGGGAGAGGGGGAGGGGGGGGGGGGGGGGAGGGGGGGGGGGGAGGGGGAGGGGGAAGAAGGGGAAGGGAGAGGAGAGAGGAGAG